TTCAAATTTAATGGTGAAAAATGCTAAACATTCACATCAAGGAGAAATCAACAACAAAACAAAATAAAAGTGGAATTTTAATAAAATTAGTCTTCAAGCACATATTGTGGGCCCAACTGACGTGGATGGCGTGAACAGCCTGTATGTGGGGGCAAATGAGCCTTTGAAACAGTTGCCTTTATTTGAGTATGGTAAAAATAAATTACTTACAAAGAGAAAACTTTTCAACGTATTTGGTGGTTGACATATTTTAAATTCTAAAGTTACTAATGCTCTGGTAGGTGTTTTGAAGATCTGATTGTCTAATGCCAAGAACTGTAACTAAAATGAAATTTTCATCCTGTTTCTTGAATTATCATGTTAATTCTGATGTCCAACGTTAGAATTAGTAACGGACCTTACTGTGGCAGCAGAAGTGAATAAAAAATAGCATCTAATGAAACTAGATTTTAACATGTCTAGGTAGACTAGATATTTTATCTGCTTGTGAGATTAATCTGTGTGGACATCATGACCCTTTTTTCTTTAACTCACTCATCAGAACATTTGTTGCAGTGGAAGACTGGCTGGTTTGTAGTGGTTAGATTGGCAGTTTGGAGAGATGACGTTTGTTGCTGAAGCAGTTCTCTTCTTTTATGTGCAGTTATCAAAGGTGAATGAGCAGTTCTGTTACTGTTCTTGTTGCTGCCCTGCTCTTGCTCTTTTTTTCACTAGTCTTGTTTTAAATTCAGATTGAGTCATCTGATACAGGACCGTGTCATCTTGTGTACTTGCACAAAATTTAACGGGCCCTGGTTATTAATTGGAGCTTTTTGGTTCTCACACAATAGACTTAATTAGTAATAATTGTACATCTGTAATAGCAAGTAGCATTCACAGCATGCAATATAATCCATGTCAGTTAAGATTCTATATGCTCTTTTAGTTCTTACCAAATGTATTTGAGAAATCGTCTTTCTTTGCCTATGTGGTGCTTCCTCTGTTCTGGTTGTAAGTGCTTATGCTGCTAATACCTTAATTAACTTCTGAAAATATAGTAAGTCAGGGCACAGCCAAATAATACTCAGAAATGTACTGATCAGCAGTCTGCAAGATTTCTCCAATAAAGCTTGAAATGTCATCTGGAGAAAACTTAAAGCCTGACTTGTTAAGCACATTAAATTATGCCTTTTTTGTGTTAAACAAGAAAACAAACAAAAAAAAGCCCAACAAACCAAGCAAAACTCTCATTAATTAATACATTAATTTCACCAAAACCTTGGCATGGTTGAAAATCTCTTTTCCCTCCTTACACATTTTCAATTATCAGCTGCTCGGAGAACATTTATCGTTTTCAGTCCATCTTTGACCATATTTCTCCAGCTGGTAATAACTATAATTTTGACAAATTCTTTTTTTTTTTTTTTTGACCACATTCAGAGTTTTTTTCCAATAGTTTATTAAAATGGAGGGTGTGGGGGTGCAGGTGTTTTCTGGCTTTCAGCTTAAAGAAGAAAAAAGAACAAACAAACCCCTAAAACCCTTTCCAAAACAGACACATATCTGGGTCAGTCTAAGATCTCTCTCATGTAGAGAACTTTTTCAGTTTCTAACTTAGGCAATTTATTATCATGAGATCCATGACAAAGAGGGCTACATTAAGGTGATTTATGAGACTTTTTTTTTTTTTTGTCTTAAAAGTAAACACGTGCTGTTTGTTTCTCAGTGCCTCTCTGAAGGAAGATATTATGGTGATTCGTGGCAATCTGTGATTGGAAATCTATTTCACGTAGTCGTAAGACTTATATTGTCCCTCTCATTTGGAATTTATGCTATAAACAGCTCAAAGTGTCAAATTTTAAGAAAAGAGAGAAATAATGAGAGAAGACATGATGTTCGTGCTGTGGTTTGGAAAAGAAGGAATCTCACTGTTAGTGGATGGTGGGCTCTCCAGCTACCAATTTTTCAGTACATTTCCATAGAGTTTAGTCTTGAACAAAAGATTTAGAAAGTGGTGGTGTGTTAGTCCTGCTTTTTATGTTCCAGTTATAGATTTTTATGAAATCTTCTGCATGTTGTCTGAACCTGTAGATGTTTTACGTGGCTGGAAACAAAGCTTTTAACTGTTTGTGATTTTTTTTAATCCCAAAGCAGTTGAAGGATCTCTTATTGTACAGGATTTGTAATGATGATAGAAGTATGGTTTTTTTAAGTTCTAGATTTCTTGAATCATTAGATGCTATTCTGTCTTTGAAGCAAGTTATAGTGAAAATGTGTACTTAAAGTAGCAGTGAATGTGAGAGTGCAGAGGTGGCCAGTTAAGCTTATTTATAAAATTAAAAGTAAAGTAGTGTGCATATTTTTTTCCTGTTACTTACACACCTCTTCTTCCTTCCCCATGGTTTCTTTAATTTTTTTAGAAAAACACAACAGGCTCTTTATAGTTAGTTTTTGTTTTGAATACATTTACATGGCTTAAAAAAGGAATTGTTGTCTGTCGATTATTCTTGCTTCTGAAGAACTGGTGCCAAGTTATCTAGTTGAATGTATATTGAATTATGTTTTTCATAAAGTAGACTATGTGCATCTTTCAGCTCTCCTAATGTTGCTCTGATCTAAAGTACTACCTTCCCTCCCCCTGACTTTAGATTTTCTGCTCATATGGGTCTCTTTTTGTTTTGGTGGTGTTTTGGTTTGTTATGTGGTGTTTTGTTGGTTTTTTTTTTGCAACTGATAATGTAACATCTTTAAGTGCTCATTTTGTGTGTGGAGAAATGCTAAGTTGAGCTGATCTATTGTGAATTATGGTAACAGTCGTAATACTGAAAGTACTTCTATAAGCTGTGTGTATTTATGCTGCTTCTGCAGTCAGATCTACTGATTTCTAGAGGCAGGATCTCTGCAGGTAACAGCACAGCTGCCCGCATAGACCATTTGCCTGCAGGGCTTCTGGAGGATGCTTGCTGCTGTGTTTTGACAGCAGAGATCCTGTGGGCATTACTTGTAAGAACAATGGTGAATTTTAGAGAAGAGAACTAATAGCTCATTATTTCTTCACAACTAGGACTTTCCAGGGAGAAATGGATGAATTATGAAAATTGCTGGGTTTTTTTCCCCATATATATGTACACAGTACATTTGAAGAGTTTTACAAGTATGGAAAGTTCTTTGAGTCTTCAAAATATGCTTGCTTTATTTCAAGATATTCTGGTGTGGATGGTGAAACTCTTACCATCTTTTACTTTTAATCAAGTGTTTCCCTATTCTGTGCTGTCAAAGCAACTGTACTGCAGTCCAAACAGTTTATGAAAGTTCGTGTCCCTTCCCTATTTATATTGGATTTATATTTATATTTTATATTTATATTTAAGTGTTGTAAACTTTTAGAACCATTGAACTATCTTGACAATTGGTAGTGCTTTTATTTTCTTCTCTTTCTGGGTTTCTGTGACTTTGTCTTTTCTCAGTAGAACTTTGTAATAACATTGGTGTTTTTAGCAGGTCTGTGTGCAACGTAAAATGAAAGAATCAGTGAAAGCAAGCCCAGCGTAGGTCATGCTTTGACTTCTGGTCTAGACCACCAACACTGGTAGTTATTACATGATCAGGGATAAGTTCAATTACAGCAGCTTGGATGATAATTAGTAGAACTGACATAACTCAGTTTTAACCAAGACATGGACTTACTTTCATGTCTTCATGTCAGCTTTCTTTCTTCTATGCTTATTTTTTTGCACTGCTGTTAAGCCATGGTGTTTTCTGTCTGATAATTTGATTGCATCTTGATGATTATGTTGTTCTTTTCACTGGTCTTACTAAGTACAATCACATCTTACTGGTTCCAAAAATACACTTTTCTGGTCTTACTTGCTTTGCCAACCTTCTGAGCTCTATAACAGTTTCTGTCTTCCTTTACCATATCCAACCCAAGCTACTGGTCTTCACTTTCAGTTGCTTGTGGGATATGCTCAGCACCTTTATTACTTCTCATTCACTGCCAAGATGTTGACTTGTTGCAGCTGGCCTTTGATGCTACTTTCTGCTGACATTTCTTCAGCTTATTTTCTCCAGTCGAAAGGTGTGCTCTCCTGGGCTGCTGCCCACGTTTGGGAAGACCTTTGTCTGTCCAGCTGCCTTGTTACTCTTCCTGAAACTCTACTTTAGTATTCTTATTGCAAAGATCAAAGAAAACTGTATGAAGGTGACTCGTGTGTTACAACTATCATGGTGTTTAGTGTCTCTTGTGGTTTTTGTTTTTTCTTTCCACGTGTCCACTTTTTTTTCCACTCTGTAGAGCAATCGTCTGTGGGATTAGCACAGAGCGCTCTAAATGGATGACTTGGGCTCCCAAGTACTGTCATAATGAAAATAAATTTTTAGGTAATTCAGATGTCAGCAACTGAACCAAGCTCACAAGTTGCTGGTGATGGTGTAGTGAGCTTTGGGGTGTTCTTTGTATGTAATGTGATGCTGTACTTTTGTGTACATTACATTACACTTTGTGTGTAATGTAATGCTGTACTTTTATCAGTGTGTTAATTTAGAGGAGCTGAGACTTGGTAATACTACAGTGTTAGGTAACTAGTGATAAGCAGGAAAGGTGTTTGTTTTGAACAAAATTCTGCAGATTTATAACAAACAATGTTCTGGTTCACTTAAAGGAAAAACTGCAGTAAAGTATCTTTTAGTGGAATCTAACTGAATTAGCCTCATGTAGTTCTTGCACCATTAAATCCTCTTATTTTAGTAGATTTGCAGGCATCATTTTATCTGGACACAAACTTTCGTATATGTTTTCTGAACTTTTATATTTGAAATATTTTCTTTGCGATAGCTGCATTGAACTACATTATCTTCTAACCTGAAGCAACAGGTTTAAATTTTTAACTGTAAACAATTCTTAAAGTGCTTTTTTTATAATGTCTGTCATAACTGTTTTTCTGAGCACTTAATATAAATCAAAACAGTAGAGATTTAGAGGATATACCTTGAAGTATAATATGTTAATATTGCTTTTGCAGGTACATGATGCTGATTGATGGAAAGAATGAAGTTTATATGATTGATAGAGACAATTCAATTTTTCATGTATCTAATCTGGAATTTCCTTTCCGTAAAGATCTTCGCACACATCTAACAAACACTCTTCTGGATGGGGTAAGGAGCATGCCTGTGTAATTAGGGTAACAATTTCAGTACTATTTACATTTGTTCTGAAACAGGGCTAAGTTTTCAGGCCTGGATCAGTGAATCATGGAATTTCAGGAGTAGTGTGGATTCAGTCACTGGCTGAATGTGGTAATCACTTCATTAAGTAATTTCTTGTCAACAGAATAGCAGTGATAACTGCTCTGGGGGGAGCTCTTTGTCTTTGAAATAAATCAAGGTGTTGAGATGGCATTCTCTGAGTATGAAAAAATGTATGAAGAGAGTGTAAAGAAATAAATGCAGAACCTCACTCTTGTTACAGCTTTGTATTTTGGTACAGTAAACATGGTCAATTTAATCCAGTTAATGTAAATGTTTCTAAAATTTTTTATAGACTTCCGTCAATTGGTGTCTTTGCTTCTGTCACCTTTACTCTCAGCTCATCTGAATTATTGACTGATTTAGGAAAGGTTTAGTTACATTTGTTTAGAATATTTCCAAGTTGTCACGCCAATTTAAATTATGTAAACTTGCTGATGGATTTTTTTTTAAGCTACTTGTAAAACAAGCTGTAAAACATCTGTATTTGTTGTTTGAGGGCTTGCCTGGAGTGTTCTTGGTAAACTTCTCAGAACAGTAGCTGAAAGCAGAGATTACTCCTTTCTTGACCTTTCTATTTTAGATGAGCAAATGAACTTCATTATCTCTTACACTAAATACCCATCAATGTAGGTGAAAGCAGTTTCCTATCATGATGTGCATTAAAGACTCTCTGCATTGCTGTCAATCTTGCTTGCTGAAGTACTGAATGTCTGAGATGATCTTCCATACTGTTCTTCTGAAGCCTAATGCACTTCTCAGATATGGGAAACTATTGTCATTGTTAACTTTCCTTCCTTTCTCAGGCCTGTGTTGTCAGTATGTTTGAAATGTTATTTCTGGAATGATCTGTCTTATTGAACACACATTTACATGTGAAGCATGTATAAATTGATTCTATGAGGATAATTACTGCAAGGAATGATGTCCTGTCTCAGGGACAGAAGAGCTTCACTGAAAAATTGAGAGTATAATGCAAGAAATGCCATGCTGTCAGCTTAAAAGTGGTTGCACAAGCTGTCATGTCTGGTAGGAGCCTCTTCAGCCAAGCAGCTTCCTGATGACATACAAAATATTATTCTTAATGACCTATATTAGGTTCCATACTGTTGAGGTGAAAAACCTGGTACTAGTTTTTTTTTTTTCTGTTTGCCCTTCATAAGGCTCTTGAGAAAGTAATGGCTTACCAGCATCCATGTGGTGCAGTCCTCTGTGTTCTTCAGGGAAGCTGCTGTTCTTTTTTTTTGCATTTCTAAAGATGATTTAGTAATAGGTACATGGTGGAAGACAGGGATGCACATATATTAGGATACGGATGTGGGACTTGGGAGAGGGGCTCTGATCTGTTGTGCTGTGTTTCTCAGATTTATAGTTTAATTCTCTTAAGAATAAAGGAAGTTGTCTCAGTTACCCACGGCATGAAGTATAACTTCACTTATTTTGTTGTTTTGTAAATATTTGACTGTTATAGTGTGTTTCTCTACATCCCTTTATTGCCATAAAATTAGTCTTACTGTCCTCTCCACCGTAACCCCCCTCCAGGTTTTTTGTGAAGTGGAAAGCAAAATGGCAAGTACTGATTGAATGAAGTACTTTGAGATAAAACAAAGGCTTTTCAATGGATAAATACTTTTAGTACAAATTTTAATTTTTTTCAAGTATAGTCAGTTAAAAAAAAAAAGCAGTTGGTGGACTACATTTATTTTCAGTTGATATTCCTTTCAGCAGGTTTGAGAAGAAAATTTGCCTGTTCTTTGAAGCATCAGAACAGCTTAACTTCATAATTGTATATTTGTTTAATGTTTGTGCCAAATGATAATTTCCATGACTGTTCCTTCACTCTGCATATATGCATTATTTCTTTCCTTTTTTTTTTTTTTTTAAATCCATGAGAAGAAAAAATTAGGCTTTTTTTGTTAACACATTTTCTAATCAGTGCTGAAGGGCTGTTGGAGTTAATTCTTTAATTACAGGTTCAAGTAGTTCGCAGTAGTTCATAGTCAAAGGATGTGATTCTCCCCCTCTGTTCTGCTCCCATGAGAACCCACCTGGAGTACTGTGTCCAGTTCTGGAGCCCTCAGCATGGGAAGGATATGGAGATCTTGGAGTGAATCCTGAGGAGGGCCACAAAGATGATTAGAGGGCTGGAGCAGCTCTGCTATGAAGACAGGCTGAGAGAGTTGGGGTTGTTCAGCCTGAAGAAGAAAAGGCTCCAGAGAAACATTCTACTGGCCTTCCAGTACCTGAAGGGGCTACAGGAAATATGGGGAGGGTCTTTTTACAAGGCCACATAGTCATAGGACAAGGGTTAATGGCAAATCCATGAGAAGAAAAATTAGGCTTTTTTTGTTAACACATTTTCTAATCAGTGCTGAAGGGCTGTTGGAGTTAATTCTTTAATTACAGGTTCAAGTAGTTCGCAGTAGTTCATAGTCAAAGGATGTGATTCTCCCCCTCTGTTCTGCTCCCATGAGAACCCACCTGGAGTACTGTGTCCAGTTCTGGAGCCCTCAGCATGGGAAGGATATGGAGATCTTGGAGTGAATCCTGAGGAGGGCCACAAAGATGATTAGAGGGCTGGAGCAGCTCTGCTATGAAGACAGGCTGAGAGAGTTGGGGTTGTTCAGCCTGAAGAAGAAAAGGCTCCAGAGAAACATTCTACTGGCCTTCCAGTACCTGAAGGGGCTACAGGAAATATGGGGAGGGTCTTTTTACAAGGCCACATAGTCATAGGACAAGGGTTAATGGCTTTAAACTGGAAGAGAGGAGCTTTAGATTTGATATTAGGAAGAAATTCTTCAGTGTGAGGGTGGTGAGCCACTGAGACAGACTTCCCAGAGGAGCTGGGGATGCATCCCTGAAGGTGTTCAAGGCTGGGTTGGATGGGGCTTTGAGCAACCTGAATTAGTGGGAGATGTCCCTGCCCATGCAGGGAAGTTAGAACTAGACAATCTTTAAGGTCCCTTCCAACCTGAACTATTCCATGATTCTATGATAGTTGCTGCCCATGAAGTAGCTTTCTCTCAGAGAATGGATGTATAGAATTGCTTTACAGTAATCTTAAAAAGCTTAAGAGAGAAAGGAGACAAAACAGCAATATTGGTGCCATGCAGCAAAACAACTACTGCTGGTAAGAATACAGAAGATGAGATAATTTCCCCTAACTCAGTTATCAATGACAGTGTATATAAAACTTTCATAACTGCAGTTTCCATGAATTCAGTGATCTATTAACTGGCTTTAAGGCTTCTGGTGTAAGCCTTTCATGTGATTGTCTTTGAGAATTTTAAATGCATTTACAGTTCACTTCAGGCTGAAATGACCTGCAAACAGTTCTCACTATGATCAGTTACCTCTTGGGTGATAAGAGCTCTTCTACAAAACTCCATGGTTATCTCCAGCTCTACAGCATGGAATAAAGTTTTATGCAAAGCTCATTATAGCTAATTTGAATATTACCTACAGGTTACTAGTATAATATATAGTATTCCTTTAGAAGTGAAGTGTTGTACATCCTTTCTGCTCTCTGGGAGAATGCATAGATTTTTGCTTGAGTGTTTTGGCTGTGATGCAAGAAAGCTAATTAATTATTTTCAGGAACTTTCTTGGCATTCTGCTTAGCTTTGGAACAGTGGAGTACAAAATGCAGAGGCATTCTTAGGCTTGAAATACTTTTCATGATGCTGATAACATTTTTGTGCATATTTTATTTATATATAATACATTGTTCACACTCAAAGACTTAACCAAGGACTCCAAAAGCAGAGAGTGAGATTGAGACTGATATATGTTTTTGTATCAGTACAGACCTCACTTTTTTGTAAGCTCTCCCAGGAATAGCATGACTTACAGTATTTTGAGTTTGCAAAGGCTGCCACTTTGTGCAAAATAGATACATTAAAAAAAAGAAAAAAGAAAAAAAAAAGCCCTTTTCATTCCTGAAATACAACAGGGCCTAGAATAGTGTTGAAGGTAAATGGACAAAGGAAAGGGAAGGCACAGGAGGGAAAGACAGTAAAGAGATATGTGATTAGATCTGATTCCATACTCTTTGTCAACGAAAGCATACATCCTGCAACTGGCTAGAAAAGTGAGGCCCTTTGCTCTGTGATTAAATTTTGGATTATTTTAAGTCAAAGTTGCTTGCTAGATGTGTGATTCAAGGAAAAAAGAAAAAGTCCATGAGTTGTGAGTCCAGCACTGTTCTTTTGGTACTTGTCCAGCTAAAAGCTCTTAGCATAGTTGCTGTTTCTAATAAGCGGTGAAACTATGCTCTGCAGCACCAGAAGATTAAGGAGATTAACACAAGTGCAGTTTTGCCAGATTACATCACAGAAACTGGCCATTGAACCTTGTTCTGCAAGACCACGGGTTAAACTAGTACCTAAACTAGCAATAGACAAAGGAAAAGGTCATACTTACTAGAAGTGGTAATTTTAAAACATACAATAGTGGCTGTAAATCTATGTGGGGTCTAGGAAAGGAAATGCATGGATGCAGGTGCATCTTAGGGATACTTTTGTGTTGTATTATCATGCCATGTGAGTGGTTTTGGGTTTTTAGTTATCTAAAAGTTGCCTTACCAGATCAGAATGAGTGAGTTTGAATGTGATCGGTTTCTCAAATACATTTTCCCAGCTGTTTATGAACTTGCCTTTAAGGGCTATTCCCTGAAGTATTTTTCAATTCTCATAATTCCGAGGAAGATTCTGAAATCAGACTGTTAAATAATGATGTGTTAGAGTGTTTCTAATCTGAATCATTCTTATGATCGCGTTACAGCTTTTGCCTTATGACAGTTGCACTGGTGTAACTAATGGCGCAGTGAATGTTGTCATGATGGAGATGAGCAGCACAGGAATCTGTCATCTTTACTGCAAAGACATATTGTGCTGTTGTTTATTTGCTCTGGTAACTGGGATTTCAGTCAGGATGTGAAAAGTGAACAATATGCAGGGGAGGAAGGAAAGAAGTGAAGAAGTGAAGATGTGAGGAAAGAGGGTAGTTGGGTCAGTAATAGGGTCAAAAAGGTTTATATGTGTCTGAAGGAGGGAAAAACTTCATAAAATTCTGTGTTAAAACTGAACATTCCAGAGAAGTTTTAAAAATAATTCTCAGTCTTCTTGGCTGTATTTAATAGTTCTTCTTAAACTTAATATCCAGAAATTCCAATTTTGAAAATCAGGCATAAAATCTTGCAATGCTAGGCATTGAAATATTTTCAGGGTTTTGCATGTAAATGTTAGCTTTGCATCAAAGCTGTCTCTGAATAGGCATGCTGAGGAAATGAGTTCTCATACCTTGAATGTATGTTCAGTTAAATGTATTTTAAAAAATAGTTCCACATCTAATACAATTAGAACTTCAAAGAAAGATGGTAGCATTCTTTTGTTTAAGTTTTACTTTGTTATTCATTGCACCTGCTAAGTATCAGGAGTCCTGGGTGGGGTTACTTCATTTGTGTCTTTACACACTCTTCCAAGTTTGAACATCACGCCTTCATTCTGTCTTATGATGTATGTGCCTACTCCATGTGTTCTTGCAGTTAGTTGTAAAATTTATTGTCAAGGAATGCATTGCAGCATTTCATCTGCTATTCCTTTGACAGCTCACTGGTGTCTTACCTAAATATTGTTAAGAAGCAGAATAGCATCATTACATCACTTGGATGCAGACCTGTTACAAATGTTATGTGGCTGTATCTGTGACTAAATGATTTTCAGAGTTAAGAATAAGATACCGTAATGTTACAAAGGAATATTTTTCACTCATTGAATGATTATTTTTTAATGATGTTGAAAGATGTGTAAGATCACTACAGGTAGTTAATCACAACACCTGTGAATCCTCTATTTGGCTGTGAAAGCCCCATCTCCATCTCAGTCTTTTGTTCACAGAAGATGAGATTCCAAAATATTAAGTAGGCAACTCGTAATTCCCAATGTTTTTTTGAGAACAGGTTCATTTCTTTTAATTTAGTTTTAAAGGCTTCAAGCTTTGTGTTTGCTTTGAAACAAATTAATGTTTTTACAGCTGCTTACTTATTTTTGAAAGCCAAATGTGATTAAATACTAGATGCAATTTGAGAAGCTTGGTATGTGTACAGACTGAAAATCAGTCTTAGATTGGGACTCTTCTTTGGATTGTTTGGGTTTTTTTGTTGTAAAGCATAAAGATGCTACTGACTTGGCAAGAAGTAAACTCAACAAAATTGCATTGATGTAAGATTCTCTTTTGGAATAATTCTTGAGCTCACAATTTTGTTTTAACTTGTTGAACTATTTTCACCGTTTCCAATTGTTTTATCTTATTATGTGTGAATTAGGGATTTTATCTTGACATTGACAACACAAAAGCATTGGTTGATAGAACTTTACTTCCTAGCCAAGAATTGTATGGGGGTTGAGGGGCAGGGATAAGACTGGTTGCATTTAGCGAAGTGAGTATTTCAAAGTTGTCTCTGAGAAGGATCTACCAGTTGGTTGATTATCACCATTTTCAGTCATGACTTATTTATATGAACCTAAATATTTCTATTAGTTTAAAAAAACAAACTAATGAACTATTCCTAATTCCTATAATAGGAAGCCTATAGGCTTCCAACTCATGGGAGTTACAGGTGTAAGCATCTGTGTAAGATGTATATATTTTTGTATATACCATTAAGTTTAGGAAACACATTTGTGTTTGGGTGTTGATGATAGTCTTACTTATAGCTGACAGATTTTCAAGATGATTTACCAGTATATACTGAATGTTAACTAATTTTAGGTGATGCAGATAGTACCTGAGATATTCCCGTTTGAGGGAACCGTACTGTTTAGTCACAATGCAGCGTTCAAGCAAATTGCAGTTGTCACTGCTGCCTGGGACACTGTTAACTTGAAAAGATCCAACCTGAGCATAGAAAATTGATCATAGAGCTGTAGAGTAATTTGGGTTAGAAGAGACCTTAATGATCATCTAGTTCCAACCCCCTTGCCATGGACAGGGACACCTCCTACTAGACCATGTTGTTTGAAGCCCCATTCAACCTGGCCTTGAGCACTTCCAGGGATGGAGCATCCAAAAGTGTGGCCACCTGTTCCAGTGTTTTATTACCCTCACACTGAAGAATTTCTTCCTAATGTATCCTAAATCTCCCTTCTTCTAGTTTACAGCCATTCCCCCTCATCCTGTCACTCCATGCCCTTATAAAATGCCCCTCCCCAGCTTTCTTGTAGCCCCTTCAGGTATTGGAAGGCTGGTATAAGGTCTCCCTGGAGCCTTCTCTTCTCCAGACTGAACAGCCTCAACTCTCTCAGCCTGTCTTCCGAGGAGACGTGCTCCAGCCCTTTGATCATCTTGGTGGCCATTCTCTGGACTTAGTCCAGAGCGATGCTAATGCTTGTTCTTTACATCCTTGCTTTTGTACTTCCTGCTGTTGGCAAGGTTTCCAAAAGTGCTTGTTGATTTAGGGTCATAGTTCTTACTGAGATTTCTAAACACATCTTATTGGATCAAGAAAGGTAGTGATTTTGAAAGTTGGGGGGAAACTATTGTGTAAATGCTGCAGATCAGAATGTGGAGCTGTAGTACAGCTTCCTGGTTTCCTATATGATGTTCCATCAAAGACATTTAAGACATTTTTTTCATCCTGATTTATTGTAAAATGTTTTTGATAATAAAGATGTGGCTGGTGTTTAGTTCTGTCACATCTATAGGCATATGCACTAAGTATAAATGTGACATTTTTCTGTAGTCATGAAATTAATGTAAATTTCTTCTCTTTTCTTTTAAGGAAATGATCATCGACAAGGTTAATGGGCAGGTAGTCCCTCGGTACTTGATATATGACATTATTAAGTTTAATGTAAGTACTTTTGGTTTTATTACTTTTATCATTAGCTATTTATTCTCATTTCTGTTTTAATCTTATTTGTATGAGTAAGAGCTTCAAAGAAAATGTACACACCAAAAGTGTTTGGGTATTTTATAGCTCGATAACAAGCAATGCATCAGAATTAAAACTGAAAGCAGCCTTATAATAGAAGTTGATTTATTTGACCTGCTCAATAAAAGATAGTGGTTGGAAACAGTTTGCTAAAGAGTACTGCAAAGCTTCCCATTTCTAAAGCATGTTTGAACAATCTAGGCAGTGAAATTGAGAGGTCATAGAAACGTTGGACTGTAAGTGGTGTGTTTTTTACCAGAGCATCATGGTGCTCTCCTTGTTTAGGCTGCTTCATCACCTCTTCCTCAAATTTGTCTTTAAACCAGGCAACTGGTCATCTGTTAAGTCTTCAAGAGTTGGTGCTTCCATTTACACTGGCTGTAGGACAAATACATAATAAAGAAATTTATTGTGGCAGTTGTAGAAAGAAGAAGCCTTTGTTGAGAGCTGGGAATAAAGTCTTTGTGTTCACAAGAAAGAACAATTGAGAAGTAAAGAAAATGAGAAACTTACTTTCTTTAAAGCAGTCTTCAAATATGGTGAAGATTTGTATGTTACCAAAGGGGTCTTGTATGTTACCTTTTCATAGATATTGTAAAATTATTACTGTATTTTCCCCAAACAGTCACAATTTATGTCAAATTTGAAGTTAGTCAGGAGTCTTTTTGCAGGATCTTCTACTGAAGCTTATTTGAAGAACTAAACTTGACCATGTATTCCACTTGTTAGACCTTACCAGTCATGCTTACTGTTATTTAGCTTTTTGGTTTTGCTGTGGTGTATCAGGAACAAGCTTCAGGAGACTTCTAGAAAGAACCAAGGAAACTTAAGAGAACAGATGGATTGAAATATGTAGTGTGTATTTGGCTCTAGATGTCAACATAGGGAAAACCTTAGGAAGAAGAATAAATAAAAATTGAGTTTCAGTGAGGCCTATACTGGAGTTCTGAGGGAAAACATTTAAGTAATCTATCTTTGCTGTCTCTTCCCATCATAAATTTTATATTGCATTCTGATGCTTATCACCTATAGCTTCTACAAAAGTCAGTCTTCAGGGATGCTGATGGAACCCTCTGATTTAGTTCCTTTTTAATCACTGATTCTGTGACGTCTAGCTTCCAGAAGCTGGTGGTAGTGCATCTCATTGTGTTACAGGAGATGCCTATGTCAGGAAAAACAAGTTATTCTTGAAGAGATTTAAAAAAGGTCTTTTTTTATTGCCATCTTCTTCAGTTTAATAATGAAGTTAGTTATTACTAATAGCACCTCAAAAGATGACGTTGCTGTGTCGCTACTTTCATCTCACGTGTTAAAATGAAATTCATAGAAAGAAAGTTATGTGCAAGTGAAGTAAACTCACCTTTCTACCTCAGGTCTTTGAGGAAACCCAGAGCAATCCCTGCTTTTTCTTTTCTGCTTCACTTGGTTCTTTCTATAAAGAAGAACTCAGAATACATAAAATCACCTCTCAAAGCCTATTCTTGAGAGGCTCCATACAAGTATTTTAACAAATAAATCTGCAGGGGTACTTAGTGTAACAGAAGAGAATAGTTAACAGTCCCAGAACCAAATACAAGTAGATCCAAATCTATGTTAATCAGAAACAATCCATAAAAGAATGTCTTAATTTTCCAGTTATCTTTGAGTCAACTCTTTCTGAGAAGTACTGCTTTGAGAAGCTTTTTCTTAAGTCCTATCCAATAGTTATGTATAGATGTATAGACAAGAAAGTTAAGCAACTTTGTTTTCCTTAGTTAAGTAATAAAAAGTAACACTGGCATAACATAGAATCTAATTAGTGCATTCTTAGCAAAGATGCTGAAAATGAATAGTACTTTCCTTTTCCTTTTTAAGCCTGGCCTTTAAATTTTTAAACTCTAGCCAAGTTTTCATGAAAAGATTGCAATGGTAAGAGTAGACTGAATGCTTGAAAAAGAATAATTATTTTAATGTTTAGAAAGGAGATAGAATTTTTATTAAATTTCCTAATACTCTGTGCATTAAGTCAAGAGCAAGATTTCTTTGGTTGTCATTATGCACAACAATGCTGTAGCTATTAGATAAAATTTGTCATTATAAACATATGCTGATCATAAATCCTGCCCACAGCCAGTGTGCTCATTGAATTAATGCATGTGGTTTTTTTAAAACCCTGTAAATTATTACCATGTTTTACTTTTCCCTTACAAACCTAATTATAAAGTGATGTAAAGCTCACAGTACATGCTGTCTCATTTATCAGCCCACGAACATTATCTTCAAAATAGACCATGCAGATTTTGAAGGCACAATTCAGAGATGCAGGTGTTAAATTGCACCTTTTGTGTTTACAAATGCAGCTGGCTGCCAGTGACTCTTCTGCTCTTAGTTTTAATTCTGGGTTGTTTCTCAAACGGTATCACCTCAAAATACAGATTTTAAATGCTTACGTTACTAGTAGGACCCTGGAAAATGAGGATGCCATGCGTGTGTTTACATTTGTACCTTTTCTGTTACTTCTTGTGGAGATGTACCTGACAAGTGCCCAAATGTTTGCAGTAGTGCTCTTGCTGTGTGTCATGTTCTCAGTATCTGTATATGTCACTTCATTCTATCATGACTCGGAGGCATCAGGTAAATGAAAAATCCAATCAGTTGTACCTCACTTTGCTTTCTGTTGGTGCACTTGGATGAATATATTAAGATTGTAGCTTCGCTGCTCTGACACTGTAATTCCAAAGCCTCTCTGCTCTCTCCAAATCCCTTGCTTGAATTTGTGAGGTTACACAGCTGCTGGCACCAATGCTTCCTCCTCCTCCTCCCATCTTTATAATGCAGTTTACTGAGAGCAGAGACGACTTGACCAGGTAATACATCTTGGTATACGAATAGAGTAGCATTACAGAATAGGGAAGGTAACAAAAGGTGGACTAGGAGAGCTTGTAAGATCAACACAGTGATGAGGGAGGGGCTTTGGGGTCTGTGGAGATGGATGGACAGAAATGCATCTTAGGTAGTGACTTTTTAAAAGTCTTTCTTGCCTTATTCCCCTTCCCTGTCTTTTATTCATAACTGAATACATAACTTGTATGTGTGAGCAGCGAAATTTGCAAATCTCCTTACCTATTCGGTAAACTTCCAAATGCAAAATGTGTGTTTTCTGTTGCTCCTTGTGCTTGAGAAAAGTTCATATGCAAAGGTAGCACTTGCATGCATTTTTACATCTCTCTCTTGCTATGATGCCTACAAAAAGTAAATTATTGCTGAAGCATGATAACTAGTACCTGCTGACCAGCTTATCTTTAGTGTTTTCATGGTTTTAATTCTATATTTTTTTATCAAGTAAGTTGCTTGATGTTGGGGAGCATTCTTTAGCATTGTAATTAATTTGAAGGCTGAGTTTTACTTGCTGGTTAGATTGTGTGAAAAAATACATCTGCTTTCTTTGTTTCCCTTGCATCTCTGAGTTAGAGCCTCCTTTTCCCAACCCAGGGGGCACTATGGATCACAGTGAAGGTGTTTTGTTTTCCACATTTGCCAAAATAGAGAATGCTTAATGGGAAATTACCTAAAAGCAAAGGGAGTATATTTAATTTTGGCATGTCTTGTTTTATTGCGCAAAGGTGTTTCCAAACCTTAAGATGAAGCATGTCCCATGAGAACCTTTTTGAATGGCAGATTATCACTAGTATAATTGTTAGGGGAAGAGGCCGAAAGTGTTGGTCCTGGAAGAGAAATATATGGACAAGTAGTTTGCCAAGAACATCTCTAGAGGTTGCCATGATATTAAATTCTTTATACATTTTCTGGTTTTCAGGCTCTGTAAGTTTGAGTGGCTTATTCTGATATGACACTTCTTGAGCAAACCATAAAACCCACTTTAAAAGACACAAAGTGAGACCTGGAAGTTTAAGTTGCATTGTAAATGAATATAACTGAAATAATTCAAACCATGTACAATTCAAAGAGTAAAGTCCACAGACAAATTTTTGTTCTTAGAAGATATCTTTAAAGAGATTTTATCAGTATTTTTACTAAACAATTTTCAGCATCTTGCATCTTTAGTGTTAAAATTACTCAGGTTTTATTCACAATATTTTTTTCTCTACTCTCGTGCTAGGAATTGTAGCATATGATTGAATAGAAAAACTGTCTCCCTCAGCTTGCACTAGGGACTATGCACTAGCATAATCATTCCTAGAGGAGTTGCCAAGTGGACTTAAACCCAACTTCTGGCTCAGGCAGATATTCAGAACTCTGAAGAATCTGGCAGTAATACAAAAAGCTTTACAGTGAGGCAGGTTTTCCAGTTGCATTATCACATCTTATTTAATGAGTACTGGGACTGAATTCTTAACACAGAGGTGTTTTTTTCCAGTATGATTTGTAAACAGAAAAACTATAGGTAAAATAGGATGGTTGGGTGAAAACCATATGGAAACAGTAGGAGTATGTTCAAATGTTGTCATGTCTTATTTCCCTAACTTAGTTTTAGCTTCTCCTTTTCTACAATTAATCTAGCTGTAATATTTCACTTCTCCTGTTTCACATCTTTTCCTGTGTATAAGGGAAAGAAGTAAAGAAAAAAAATAATTAAAGTTAATCAAAGGGATATGCCAAATTTAAAATAACTATAATTCAGGATAGGTATTATGAAGGTAAAAGTAGAACCTCTCTAATGTTTTCTTTTCCATGGCTAGTATGTTTGCATAACTGTTATGGTCTAGGAAATAATAAGAAAGCTGTATTTTTATGTTTTTTAAAAAAATATTTCTGTTATTTAAAAGTAACATGAAGGAAAAATTGCACTTTTCTTTTGAAATTAGTATAATAGTAGTTCATCAGTATTTCTTACTCATAAGCTAGCAGTGCACACAGTGAACTATGTATCTGAAAGACAGATTGTGTACTGAAGTTACAGATCTTTTAAAAGTCTTCAG